CTCTGGCGACGCGTATGTGTGCCGAATGTGATAAAAGGAGGCGTGCGGCACGATTGATGACACTATCATTTGTGTGGAATCATACCATCAACAGCAAACTGAAAACTTATGGCTGTGCGTGTGTTGGTATGTGTTAAACAAATTAAGCTACAATCGTCGACTTTGTTGCCGTCGTCGGTAAATTAGTGTACTAGCTGATGCGTATGTTGTTCGGATGTATGTTCATATATTTATGGTATATCCATAAATGTGTCCATAGCAAATATGTATCGCGAAGATATGCGCGCCGTGTTAACACAAATCAATGAATAGCGTCTGCAACTGCGACAAATCGACGCGAGACAGTTCAATTACCTTCGTACAGCCTAATTAAAAACGTTTGAATGAATATCCCTTGCATCGAAAATTCACTGATAACAACGAAAATTTTTCTTAACGCATACGATAACTTATTTTTTGTTGTTAAATGTTTAATTTTTCATAAAAATATTAAATTTTATATTTTAATTATACATCCATCCCTCTCATAAATGAAGAGTTTAATAACACGCGCGTATTCAACAAGAACTCGACTGTATTCATTCAATGTCCGACAAGAACTGAAGTTGAAGAACAGGAACATGAGCAGCTAACCAGGCAGCCATACAGCAATGAACACCCAAACACTAAACAACCACCCRGTACCATTCGGCATCTATCCTATTGGAGTATCTCCGCCAAAAGCCGGTTTCCAATATACTTATCTCTCCCAATTTCTCTATACGTGGTAGGTACTTTGAAATGAATGAGAGAACAAAACAAATGCGAGAAAATAATTTCAGATGAGTGTATGGTATTTGTAGTTATGTGTTCATGAGAAATGTTTGATACCCTTTCCCAGGAGAGCAGCTTTGTTAAGAAGAACTGGATAGTGGGAGCTAAGATATGGCTTCTGGCACGCACTTTTAAATAAAATCCATATGGTTCAGCTAATGAATACAGTTACATTTTAATGCGAGTGAAAAGTTCTCATTTTGTATAAATACATATGTCAGTGCACTTACACATACATACATACTCACATACATATATTAAGTAGTTCAAACAGATCTTAATGATCAGATTTGAATTTCGAAAAATATTTGAAACAAAACTTTAAACCGTTGTTATACAATATAAATGAGAACTACCACTTCTCATGATCGAATACGAACTAGTGAGTTCTTTATCCTTTTTACACGAAATTATTAAGGCATCTTTCACATAAGGAAAGATGATCAAAAACATTCAGTAAAGGTATAAGGAATTATTTTATTCTGTATAGAGAGGAGAGGAGTATTTGGGCCCCATTTTTAAAGGATTGTTGTAACATATCAACTATTCGGGAAATTTAAAACAGCTTTCATCTGTTCCCTTCTTCGAGAAAAATTAAATTTCTTTATAAATTGCCTGTCTAAACAGCCAATGCGTCTTGGCATTTTAATGTACACATTTAGTACATTTAAGTCTATTTCTCTTGCATGTCTCTCGATATGTGAAAAAATTTGTAAACACTGTGCAACATTCATTTATATAGAACAAAGAAATATTAACTATTCGATTATGGAATACATGTTATTGTTATTTGCCATTTAATATTAATTTATTTTTGTCGATGAAATGCTTTTAAGTATCAGGATCTAAAGTTAAAAACTAATATATGCATACATATGCATGTATCTTACACATGAATGTACATTCATGCAGCAAAGAAATATGTATGCACATTCGTATTTACCGTAAAGCAGTACAAAGTGAAAATTTTCATTGAATTATGATGTGAAATATTAAAAAAGATGCTCATTGCATATGTGTGTATATGTATGCATTGAAATCAACTACAAACTTCACACCTTGATCTTTGCGATCGCTTTGAACTCGCAGTAATCAAAAGCATAACGCAGCGATTTGTTTACTTTCAAACATGTGTATATATGTAGATACATGTGTATGCATGTATACAATACCTGCTCCCTCAGCAGTCCAATCATACACAACATAGTATGCATTAAAGTATGAGAATGTGGATATTGTCGTATCACAAGTGCTAAACTTTTTAATGCCTTATTAATGCGGCCACATAAAGTAATGAATTCAACCGCTTCCAGTTTGATCGCATTTTTATTGCTATTTCAAGAAACAAACGAACGCTTCTGTCTCACGAACTGCAACCAAATTTTACGCAGACAATATTCTATGCATTTTTTATGAGGACGAGAACTTTCGTATACGATGTTCGGCCTTTCTGCGCGTTACAAAAGTACAAACGATTCGAGGTGTCGAACGATCTGTACGCATCTTATGGGGGTCACTACTTGTTTACTTGGCGCATTCGCTGCTGGTAATGCAATGCTTCCGCTCTTCCTGCTGCAGTTGATGCTGATGACGAGAACTTCTTTTGATGTTGTGAAGCAGTTCAGTGTGCATTTCATTTTTATTTTTGTGTTTATTACTTTATTTTTTGGTTGCTACTGAAGCATGAAGTCATCCGAATAGAGCACGCCGCCTCCAAATAACATTCGTTGGACTGACTGAAATTTCGGTAATGTTGTTGTTTTCTTTTCATGTTTTTATTTTGTTTAGTCTACAGGTTCATACTGTTGCCAACAAAACTAATTTTAATACATTAAGAAATTTTTACATACATTAAGAAATTCTTACATACATACGTACATATGGTACATAAATTAATATAAAGGAAATTATTTATGATCACATACGTAAGTATGAATGTAAGAGTATGTATTCTTATTATATATGAGTTGTGCACATTTGTACATATGTACATACAAATGAAGTTTGTTTACGAATTTGTTTGTTTGTGCAAAGGAAACTGAAGCGCATTCTSAATTGAGAAAGTTCAAACTGCTATATGTATGTGTGTGCGTATTATTTAATAACCAATTTTATGGAAGCGAAACCATAAACTTTGTTAGCAATTTCCCTTAGTATTCAGGCTTAATTAACATCCCACAAACACAGCGGCGTAAGRAGAAATGTGCGTGCGCGATCGTAAAATGCTGTGGCAGCAAATAGAAGTTCATTCCACCCATACAACTGCAAAGTTCTGTAGCGGGAAGCCACTTTCTAAGCGGCAATTTAAGAGTTTACGACTTTTTTATTAGCCTTTTCCATGAGCGTTTTGTGTTGTGAGCTCCTGATAACAATGCGATGAAAATGAAAAGGACGAAAACCAAAGGACGCCGTGACGGTCACGCTTGCACTTTAGACTAGTAAAGTGTATGGCTGGGGGTTGCGCAAAGCAGAGAGCTAAGCTGGATGAAAGAACTGGGTAAGGTTTTTAAAAGTAGTAAATGAACGGATTTGGTAGTATGAGTAGCCGAAGTGTGTAAGTAAAGTAGAAAATTTATGCGCTCTAGCAGTGTGAATTGTTGTGCAAGTAAGGTGTGAAACGCACAACCGCATGTGGGAGTGGATTTTTATGACAAACTCGCGGAGAAAGCGCAAGAAGTAGTAATTTCACCAAAGTTGAAGATTGTTATGATTAAACACACACACTACATATGTATATGTACATGTTCTAATCCTGCACGATAATGTTCATCAGCCCTAAAGCCGATAATGATGTTCGCATTTACGACCGTACATTCAAACGACCCAGCCGCACAGCCGCGTCAAAGTGACGTTGCGCAGAATAATTCGGATTTTATAGTTTTTGTAAACCCCTTAACGTTGCGTTATGCGCCGTCATGGTGTGGCATGTAATAAGGACATATCCTTACTGTTGGCGAAGTTATGGGGGATGGTAGTAAGACGTACATACATACATATGTACATATGTATATTCCTACCCCGTTGAAAATTTCAGTGCGCAAATAATAATACGAAACTACCAACTACTGCATCGTTGACGAATTATCTGGCTTGTGAGCAACAAAACTCAGAGATTTGATATTTTTTACTTGCACCTCAACCGACATGATATTGAAGTTGCTAAAATTTTACTACAAAGCAGCGAGTTTCAAATTATTTCTCTAATTTTTTAGAAAAGTATTAAATCCATCAATATTATATTTAAATGCGAAAATCGGGGCTCTACCTGAAACTTGTGCTACATCACATCAAAAACATAAATGTATCTTGTTTGCGTATTTCATAATTTTACTACCGGGTACAGCAGTACAAACTTACATACATATGTAGTAGAAAACACTTGGCCAATGTCTGTATGTACGCATGTCGGTACATAAACACAATTCTAAATAATGAGGCAGAGAAAGCATAAACATTTTAGCGAGGGGTGGAAATTGTCAGCCAACTTAAACGGAATTCTACCAACCAGTTCTATCTTGGCACTCTACCGTTCAGCTGTCTGTCACATAAGCAATCGGTATGTGTTTACGAATCTTTCAGCATGTCGCTGCCGTTTCTGCTCTACGCCGATTTTGCAGCTCTCCTCGACATTTATTGATACCATAAAGTCAAAGATTTATGGTATGGCCGCCCGCCAAACCAAAGAAGTGCCCTTTGTTATTGTTACGATAGTGTTCCGAGGGGGTTTCCTATTGACTACCCCTAAGTTGTTTCCTTTTCACCCGATTCACATACACTGTCGCATAAATATGTAGATATTCTAAAAACCTTCAAACACACATACAAACAGTTTTGTAATATGCAAATGCTCGGTGCTACATATGTATACATATCTCTTACACTTTTCGAAAACATGTACAAAGAATTTAGTCTATCCACAGGGGCAAACGTCGGAGCAGTGAAGATCAAGGTTCGGAATACCTAACTACCCGGTTATTAACTATTTCCTAAATTTATTCACATTGCAATTGTTGTAGCTACCACTTGGAAAGTTAATTTTTCAATTGGTGGTTTTGCAAATTGCTTATTGACTGTAACGTTCACGTTAATACGCCATGTCTGAATAATTACATCAAAAAAGCGAACGCTTTACAACAGCTGTTTGATTAGTACGTACATATATTGTGGAATGTATTGTGCAAGCAAGATATCTGAGAAGGTGCACAGAAATAATCAAAAATGACTATCTGTTGTCGGATTTGTTTTGAAGAAAATCCTAAGAATTTCTGTCTCTACAAATGTATGAGAAAAAAATATTTGCCCAGTGTTATTTTTAACATCAGTGGAGTGAAAGTACATTATAAAATTTTCTATTAATTCAGAATGCACGTATTTTAAAATATATGTACATACTTTTCACAGGTTACGAAAAAGCTTGAGCCAGAGGCACACATTTGCCGTCGCTGTGCTGCATCGATATTGGTTGCTGAAAAGATCATATCGCGATGCCAGGAATCAGAAGAATTTCTTCAGTTTCGTCGTTTAAAGGAAATTTGCTTATCAAGACAATCTCCAACTCCGAAGACAGAAAGCTCTAACGTAGAAACATATGAAAAATACCAGCCTGCTTCCGCTTGCAGTGAATTGGAAGAATCATTACCATTAGAACCAAATGGTGAGCATTTGTTACAATCTGTCAAGCAACTTCATATAATAAAAAATGAAAATACGAACAATTCTAAACGGCTTGGAGACAACGAAAGTCAGTTCTCCGATAATTACGAACCAGCAGAAAAACGTTTAAAGAGTAAAGAAGTTACATCAGTGTCCAGCTTTGATTGCGATCGATGTGACTTCACTACCAAGATAGGTAAACGTTTTATAGAACACAAACAAATTGAGCATGGGGTGTACGATCCAAATATCTATACATGTACTATTTGTTCTGAAAGCTTTTCTTGGAAACCAACACTGTATAGACATATAGAGATAGACCACAAAATACTACCTGCAGATAAAAAACATTTATGTAATGAATGCGGTCGTGCCTATATGCGGGAAGTCCACTTATTAGAACATATAAAGCAGCGGCATGGACCGCGTTGTTTCAAATGTCCTGATCCACTATGTGAGCAATCATTCACTCGAACGTTCACTCTTAGACGTCATTTCATCACTACACACACGGAACAAACAAGCTCACGTTATCATTGCGTAGATTGTAAAAAATACTTTAAGGTTTATGATCAATGGAAATACCATAATGAAGTTATTCACAAAAATGAAATTGTATACTGCCCACATTGTGGCTATCCTTTTCGCTTCAAAGAAAAGCTAGATGAACATATTTTGAAGGATATATGCAAACGTAGTATTGTGCCATGCTCCTATTGCCAAAGACGCTTCACAACAAAATGTGGATTGAGAGAGCACGTGCGGAATATACACARCATCTACTAGTTAAGAACGTGTATTGATTGCTTGGAAGCACCGAAAAAAAAAAATAGCCATAATTTCTTTGCTTTATATTAAACCATTAATATTTGGCTTTATACCCAAAAATAATAATAACCAACTGAATAAGAGGCTCACTAATTTGAATATATGGCCCTTGTACTGAAAGTTTCCACTTTTTAAGGTTCTCACAGAAACATGATTTAAAACACATGAACTTTTATCCATGCGCAGAAAAAATTTCAAACTGGGAACAATTTGACATATTTACGAAAGGCCTAAGCAAAACAAACCCGAAGAATAACTGTAAAGGAAAACAGCAAAATAAAAATGCAGCCAGATAAGATGCAGCAACAATTTCTTCTACACAATAATATACATATGCATATTTAAAGCCAAAAACTTAAAGGACCTTTAACTAAGGACCTACAAATAATCATTTGTAAAAAAGTTGATACGAATAGAAGAGAACTACCCACAATATACTAAGTAAATGGAGCAGGCAGCAGCATAACCAAAAATATATAACCACATACATAAATAGGTATGAACATACACCATATGCTCTTATACAATCAACAAATCGAAAGCCATAAGCCAAGTGTTAATGTTCTTTAATTAAATTATGAAAGAAGTGACGTAGCAGACTGTTAGAATGGCGTTTATTATTTATACAGCCAAACTGAAAGCGGTTGCCTTTTATCGCAGAATTTGTGAACATAATTCAACCGGAACAGTATCACTCAATTTGTATTGAGAATGCTTGTTTACTATTTCAGTGCATGTAATTTTCGTTGCAAAATTAATTATCAGGTAAGACTGACATAGTAAATGTACTTTAGTTTGATTTCATTTTAAATGTTATTTGGAGCCTAAGAAGGAGTAGGAACACGGTGTTATGTAGCAACCAAATAAAAAGGAATAACATTTTTGAAAGCTCAGCTGCTTTTATGGAATTATATTATTTATAGAATTATTATTATTTAATACGAAGAAAAGTGAAACGGAGAAACAAAGTGAGTCATAGACATATACCATGGCATCGCTTCGATTGATAAATCGGTACGTTTGTATTGACATTATTTGAAATATTGGTGGTTAATAAAGATTATTTCTTTAAGGTTAATAATACGTGGATTCATATCTCTGTCTTTGCTGCTGGTTTTCTTCAACGAATTTATAGTTTACTATATCAATCAGACTACATGGAAACAAATTTATTGTAAACACGGTAATTAATACAATTCATAAATATTTATAATTTATTGCTAATTACTTTTATTTAGATAACTGTACAAGAATATTGTTTGTAGCGGATCCACAATTAATAGGCAATTCTTACGAGAAGGGGTTTTGGAGCCCTATTTCGCGTTACGATGCTGATAGGTAAAAATATAATTTTTATACCAATATAATTGTAATCGCAATGAGCCAAACAGAAAGTGCTTGAAATTTTATTATAACGTTTTTATTTATTCACCATGTAAAAATAAATCATTAATGATAACAAGTTTTAAAAAATAAATTCTACCTTAATTTTTTCTTCTCAGATACTTGAAAAAGACTTTTGAGCGAACACTAGACTTCACACAGCCTCATATTATTTGCTTTCTCGGCGATCTCTTGGATGAGGGAAGCATTGCAAACCAACAAGACTTTGATAGCTACGTCAAACGATTCAATCGAATTTACAACACGAACACAAATATAAAAGTAAGTTATCCGCATTTCAGGTTGATTTAACATGTAAATATGTATATATATGTATGTATGTATGAATGTATATAGTTCAAATTAATCTCTCCATATGCGCAGCGGATTCATGTGCCGGGAGATAATGACATTGGCGGCGAAGATGGAGAGTATATTTCAAACTCAAATGTGCGCCGCTTCGAAGAGTCTTTCCAAAGTGAAGATCTCTTTGACTACGAAAATATGTTACGGTTTTTTAAAATAAATCGGATGATGCTCGACTTTTCGAATCCAGATCGTGAACACAATGCACAACGTTTACGTGTAGGTATTTCGCATGCCCCAATTCTCATTGGTGGTGGACCACTTTTGCGTTCGGTACTTAGTGAATTGGATCCCCATGTAATATTCTCTGGTCACTGGCATGAATCTAGAATATTCATACATCCATCAACGCATGTAGTGAATTTTTATGAGTCAACAGTGCGACATTTCGACTTGCGCTCTCTAAAAGAGAAGGAGCATCAGTATCTGGAAATTATGGTACCTACAGCTTCGTACCGTATGGGGAAAATGAAGATGGGTCTTGGGTACGCGGTGCTAGGTGAGTTAATCATAGTTATTCGATTTGGTAAATATTAATAGTACACTTCAATCTATATATTTGATACGAATATGTGTTACTTTGCAGAAAACTATCAACTTAGCTACACAGTACTCTGGCTGCCCAACCGATTCATTTACCTGTTTTTATATTTATTTTGGCTGCTTCTATCAATTTGTGGTTTCATTGTGTTCAGAATGATGACGCGATGCCCATTTCGCGTAGCTAAGCGTCAATCATTATACAACCGTACTTTAAACATGTCTTAATTTTTGGATATAATATATATATATATATATATAATGTAAAATTAATTAATTAAAAGTCCATATTCTGTAAAGGTTGAAACCTATAAATAATATTAAGTATTAAATGTGTAACCAATATCTGTTGAATTTATATTGTTATTAAGTATAATATTAATATTAAAGAGTTTATACATACGTTATACGTTTAATAACGATTTGGTTAACTCTCTTTTTGCTAAGAATGTGCTCGGAAAATTTAATTTCCCTTACATATAGAAAAATAAATGGAATGCTATTTATCAATACAATTATTATATATTTGTTGATTTCTCTGTAATCGCATTATTAGCTATACCCATGTAACTTCAATACAATTATTGTAGACATTTACATACGTATATTGTTTTACTGCGAATTCAGTTACTTACGGATTTCCTAACTGCTAATCGTACACCAAATATGTATATGTCAAACGATATTTTTTACTCGTAAGAAATCCGAGCGTGGGCAACATCGTAAATCACGTTAAGTTTAGTCGATCGAAAGGTTGTGYAGGGGCGGCAGAACAGAACACGCTTAGTCAAATTATTGTAAAAAATCCAGCAACGGAGATTATTTCGTAAAAATAACACGTTTGTGCGATAAATAATTTTGCGAGCAATGTAGTTTCCTTTCAAATCGCTTAAAGAAATCCCTAAAATTTCTTTATCTYATAAATGCAAGATATTCTGATATTAATTAACTTGAAAAGCCGCTTACAATTGTTAATAAAGAAATTAAAAAACGAACTTAACGTACACATATACAAAAAGAACTCGATGCAAAAAAAATTTAAAAAGTAGCAGTTGTTTTTTTGTGTTTATAAGAATTACATATATTTTTAAAACATACACAGTTACTGCGAAATAAGTGTATTTAAAAAATATTTATCAAGAAAGTTATTTTAAACATTCGACATTCGTATGTATTGTTTTAATTTTAAAAACAAGAAAAGAACAAACACATTCTATAATCATATTTTTAAAAATTCGACACAACATAAACTTTCATTTAGGTAATTTTATTTACAGAAAGTCTGAAAATTTTCTGTATTTTCGTAAAAAAAAAGATTTTTGAATTTTGTATTTTATAAATGCAAAGGATTACAATTAGTAAATAATGTTCAACTTATTTATTATATATTCAGATTTTGTTATAAAGGCATTTTTATTGGTTAGTTTGAGAAGAATTGAGAATGTTTTGGGATTTAAAAAAATTAAATTTACTTCCATGAGAATAGAAGTATTTTCTTATTTATTTCTACACAAAAGTAAAAAATTTAGTCATAAATAAAAAATATTGATTATTGTCACTTGTTATTAACTCATATAAACTCAACGTTTATATAAATACATTCGCTTCGTGATTTTCCAGCTGTTATTTTTATATACATAGTCCATTCGCATATATGNACAATTCATGGAAAACGAAGGCGATACTTCAAATACTTAATTTTTCAAAATATTATCTATTTGCGATTAGTAGTTTTGACTRAACATAAAATTATATACATTAGAACGGGTATTTACATACACACGACACATGGATATGAATTTCCAGATAGGTGTTTATATTTCTGTAGGTATAGCAAACCGACACTCTAATCTTATGAAAATTATATTATTGAATAAAACCAACGATGTCATATGTATATGTACATATGTACATATGTACATATATGATTTAATCTTTATGATCGACTTTGTTTATAAGCTTATAACACACAGGCATTCGTGTAGTAAATACTAATAAAACAATTTATATAACTAACGGGAACATTTTGAATATTCCCGTAAACTAAAATAACAGAATACAGCTTTACACGCACACTTATTTTTTAATAATTTATTACATTCTAATTCCAATAATTCAGAATCAGCGAAATACAAACAAACATAATACATATGTATGTGTGCATTTTTAGTACGTATTATATGTATGTACATATATAAGTACATGATAATATCATCTAGACTTAAACTAATCTAGGCCCTACCTACGAACTCATCATTACTAGTGTCACACTTGGGCGTCACGAGTCGGTTTAGTGTGGCAAATACCATATACACGTCTTCTTTCGAACCTAGAAAAACCGATTTCCATATATATTATATATGTATTATATGGTAATAATGTATCATAGCTTTATATTATAAAGCTTGCTAGAAACACTCGTCAGCAGGAACACTGCGTAATGCTCTGTTCGTCTTGGCATTCGTTTTCCTACAGTMATTTAAGTGTGTTTGGTTGTTCACATATTCCTACTGGTGAATGTGCGAGTGTATTGGGCCCTGTAGCACAATATACAAAAAATTGTTTCAAAACATCTAGTGGAGTCGTTGGCACTGGTCTTGCTGGTTGCGTCCACTGTTGTTTTGTTTAGTTGCTCGCGTTCATGTACGAAATGTACGTACACGTGTAGTTGTACAAGTACGAACCAGTTGCCGGGTTGTTTTTGATCGTGACATTGTCATAAAGTGCTAAATAGGACTTTAAGTGAACGAGATTTTTACGCTTTTGCATTCGTTTTAATATTTACCTATCGAGAAGTTATACAACATATGATCACATATATATCAAGTGAGTGATAGCATTGCCTATTTACGCGAATATGTGTTAATATCTCTGTAATTTCCCATATGTGTATGTGTCTCTTTCATCTCGTTAATTGATAAAAGTGATATACTCTTTGACCCCGGCATAAATTTTGCCGCCACTTCATCTAAAATAATGTTATAATAGGACAAATTTAGAAAATTATGTGTTATTCGATTTGTTTTTGTTTTTTTTTATTTTTTTTTTTTTTTTTTTTTTTTTTTTTTTTTTTTTTTTTTTTTTTTTGTCCACTTGTTGTCATTGGCCACTGCAGATACAATGATCGCGTGCTTGTCAGATGCGTTTTCCTGTTGATTTTGTTTGCCGTCACACATATTTATTTATAATACTTACAGTAGGGGAAAAACATCTGCAACTACAGTTCAAAATTCAGTTTCTGACAGTTCGACTGATGAATGAGGTTACATTTTTACATATGCCTATAAATTAATATTTTTGTTATATTTTAAGAATTCAAATCTATTATATATGTACATATGTACATACATAACTCATTTATAAAAGTTTCCAAGTAAATTTTGAAAATTTCCAATCAAAAAATATGTTTTAAAAAATACATATGTAACGCACTTCAAACTATGTCTTGCATCATTGTGTATATGCACGTAAGTACGATTGTATTGGGTTTTGCATACTGACTGCAGGTAAACTCCAAATTTTTGTTTCAACCAGTCCCCTGCAGTTTCCATTCTCACCTTACAAATTTACGTTATTTACAAAACAGGTTAATTATGAGAAAAACGAGTGTTACTTCTTGGCTGTAAGGACCTTTAGTTTGTTTCAATTTCTTATGTCATATCGCAATAACTTTAATTAAAACATTAAGTTTCCGGCAAACGAACCTTTTTATGGCGACCGCGATGATTTAAAACTCATCATAAGATAGCATCATCGTACACATCTCAAATGTTAGTAGAAGCTCGACTAAGTACATTTAATATAATAGGTGTAAGAACGAATGATATCTACATAAGTATATGTGTGTATGAATGTAGATATATCAACTTGTCGAGCGTCGCTCAACTTGTAGCATCCTAATACAAGTGCTATTACAATATTTACATATTTTAAATTAATTTCAATGTAATATGTCACAATGTACTCACCATTTATGCAATTCCGCTGAAAACAAAAAAATCAAAATCAAAATAAAATAATTAAATTATTTAGACATATGGTATTTCGGATCGTTTTTCGAGTAATCGGCTTAATATTGGGTAGTCTAAAAAGTGTTTTCGTATTTTTCGTATATCTCCAATCACGTAGTGCCATACCATATAACATTGGAAAGGTAAGATTTTAGGCTTGATTTAACAAAAAAAATCTAATTCGTGCAAGTTGAAAAAACTTTACAGCTGTTCAAAACTGAGTGAAAAAAATTAAAAAATTCTATATTTTGAAATTTTTGTAGAAAATTTCCGTTCTAGACATTTCGAAATTTCGATTAAAAACTTTACAGCTGTTCAAAAATGAATGAAAAAAATGAAGAAATTCTATATTTTGAAATTTTTGTAGAAAATTTCCGTTCTAGACATTTCGAAGTTTCGATTTACACTGATAGAATAATGTGTCTAGCAGAAAATGGCTAAAAGTGGTCGACCGAAATTGTACATATTTGTTAATTTATTTATTAGCATATGTAAAAAATAAGTTGAAGTTTGATTTGAAATGAAAAAGCCTTTTCTTTTTCGACTACCCAATATATACATACATACATATGTATATAAATACATCCACACATGCACACATACATACATTGGAAAACTATGTTTTTTTTAGTACCTAGTACTCTTACGTTTTCTCAATGTCTGGTTAGCAACCATCTATCAGTTAAATTCTTGTTAAAATAAAAGCTTCTATACTAAAAGAAAGAGTCTTGGTTAAGCCAAACAGAACTTAACTGACAGATGTCACAGCTTAAGCCCTTAAGCTCTCTTCGTAGATTTAGGTCTGAATACTTTTGAATACTCAAATCGAACATAAGTATGCGTGTACTTATATATAAAATAAACGTAAACAAAGTTCTGCATGTTAAGTTCTCAAATACCAATACCTAAATTCTCCACTTACAATAAAGCGTATGGATATTTGCCGTGTGAACACTTCATGAACATGACCTCAGAATTAATAATGTTTGCAAAAACAACACAAGTATGGATGTAATTAAYATTGTATATCTTGGATACTTATAATATCAACATTTTTAATATTATTTTATTACATGAATTTAGTTAGCGCTCTCTACATTCCAAGTCGATTACACTTTATTATTTACACATTATTTTCCATGAATTTAAGGAACGCAATCCGTTATGAAACGGTCAATATTTGCATTTATAAATGGCCTTAATAAAACGCTCCCTAAAAAGAAGTAATGAATTATTAGAAGTCGGACATGTCGCTGTGCCATTTCACTTGGAGAAAAACTTTTGTGTGGCTTGTGTCAATGTACTTATGTACATCTGTACGAATGGT